CAGATAACAAAATTGCAAGAGAGAGATAATTTTTAAATTGTTATTTAATTTCAATGATTTATTGCAAATTTAGTGAGCTTATGCTCACATATGCTTAAAGTCAGCATAACTTTAGTTTTAATATTTTTGTTCCCTTTTGAAAAATTCTTAAAAATAAATATATCTCTAGAAATATAGGCTGTATTAAAAGAATGTGCTATAATATAATAGCTCATTTTTCAATGTCTCTGGTTTCACTTATTTAAAATAGTTATTGTGTAATGTAAGTATTTCCTATCAAAATGTAGCTTTCCCCCACAATTCCCTTTGTTAGATGAATTTCTGCTGAATCTTTTATAAAAGTCACTTAGTGGAAATACAAAAGAAAAAAATAAAGCATTTATATCTAGTCCTTGAGAATGCATTTATAATTGGGTTTCAAAATTTACAAGGCATTTCATAGGTATTATCATTGCTATACTTCTCAACATTTCTGTCATGTATCATGTATCATCATACCCTCTTTTGAATGAATTAGAAGAGGCTTGCAAATGTGAAGGGAATGACATGGTATCTCACATAAGTGGTGGAACTAAGATTCAAACCTAGATCCTCAGAGCCTGAAGCTCAATATTCCATTGCCTTATAGCTGTGATTGTTTCTTCCTTTTTGTACAGTGGCCATGTAAGTAAGGAAGTCACTGGATTCTTTCTTCAGTAGGTATTTTAACACATTTCCACATTTCTTCTTCCTTTTTCTCCACCACCAATAAAAGTATAAGTAGGAACTTGATTGTATTATATCTCAGGAAATTCATAAAAATCAAGATTTTTGTTTTGAGGTTCTCAGTTTGTTTCCTAGTGACCAGGAATAGACAGAGTTGCTCTAGTCTTAGAATGAAACCATGTGTACAGCATTTAAGGAAAATTCTAGAATTTAAAACCATCTATAGAAGTTATTCTGTTTGCATTATCTAATCCTTCAGAATATGTCTATTGTTAGTATACTTCATGTATCATTCTATAATCCCAAAATGATGTCATAAAGACTCAGAACTTCATTTAAGTACATTTTCTAGTTGTATTTTGGGCATGTTGATTAATGCCATATCTTACTTTAACCTATAGAGAATTACATTAAACCTGGTACCTAAAGAAAAATCGACTGATTTGTTACAAAAGCTAATTGCAATAACAATCTTAGGTCATCACTTTATGAAGCCTATTGATTTGAACATAACTATAACACATAAAAGGTGTGTGCACTTTGGGGGTAATTTTCACAAAGTAAACACCCAATCCTTTTAAAACAAAAATATACATGCTAAATTGGACCAAATACATTTGGTTTAGAGAAAAATGTTAAATTAAAGCAATTTTCATTTTGCATTTTTACTCTGCATTGTGGTCACTCTGTTCAGCATTTGCTATCTTCTTAAAAAGCAGTATAAGCTATTACTAAAACTGTATAAACACAGACTAAATGTATTACATGATTTTAGAATGGAAGCATGCTTATGAAAGCAAACAACTATAAGCTCAAATTCACACTTTTTTTTTTTTAAAGATAGAAGTTTATAGCTTATTTGTCAGTTAATTGAACAGGCCTTTAATGTGTTTGCAGTTCTGTTGCATTTGTCCTACAACCAGAAATGCAACACTGTTTTTGAAAATATCATGTGTAATTCTTGAAGAGACTGCAGTCTGTCATTACAGATGGATTGATAGCCTGGATGATATCATTGAACTTGTGTCATACCAAACCTGGAAGACTTGCTATGTGTCAGAGAATGTTTGTCATTCATCTTGCTTTTGAAAGGCCAAATTTATTTGCAACCTTGAATGACATTGGACACATGAAACATCTATCATGCAGTATCTTATAAAACTGCAATTTAAAATCCTAAGTATTGACTTGGTTTTCAGAACTACCTTCAAAGCCAATGACTTTCAAATTTTATATTTATGAACACTGATTTTCAATGGATAACAAGAACTTTATGTATTTATTTATTTATTTATTTATTGAGTACATCAGGTCACCAAACATCCACCATGCTTTCTTGTATAAGAAAAGTAGAAACCAACAGTAGTGGAAATACATGTATATATTTTTATGTATTAGTATCAATATGTAACTGACAAGCACTAGTAATGAAGTCTATTCTTTGGTTGGCTTGTTCAGATAATTTTTTTTTTTAAATTTCAGATCAGTACAGTTGAATAAATGTAGTCCTATCAAATGAGAAGCAAAATTGTTTCTGAATTTTCTGTTACAGAATAAGAAATGCGGTATATGTTTCTATTCTATATAATAAAAGCTTAATATGCTAAGTGTTCGGTTGTCTAGTCAGCTGTTCAACCAATCAAAATTTAATATGCCAATGATATGCAAAGGCTGCTCAACCACTCACTATGATGTGAAATGATCACCAGGGGGCAGAGAGTTGACCAATTAACCACTTGCTATAACATGCAATGACCACCAGGGGGAAGACGCTCCAACTGGTAGCTTAGCTTGCTGTTAAGGTCTGGCTGATTGGACTGAGTGAGATGGGCCTGATATGCCCTGGAGTCTTCCCACAGTCCCTCCCTAGCTGGTCAACCTCCGCATCCCTCCACAGCCCTGATCATGCACTGGTGGGGTCCCTTGGCATTACCTGCACATTCTTGCAATCCAGGACCCCTCGGGGGATGTTGGAGAGCAAGTTTTGGCCCAATCTTGCAGGCCAGGCCTAGGGACCCCTCTGGTACACAAGTTTGTGCACTGGGCCCCTAGTAAATGTATAATTCCATCCATGAAAACTGAATTTATGTTCAATACAAACAAAACAAGAAAGCAATTGAATATCTACTATGTACCAGGTTTGAATTCTCAAGTATAGTAGCTAATGGTTAGCTAATAATAACAAAAATAGCTACTGTTTACGGAGTTTCTATGCACGCATATACAAGATCTCAGACCCAGATGGCACCACAAATGAACTGTTCCAAACATTTAAGAAATTATAATAAACTCACAGATTCTTTCAGAAAACATAGGAGCAAAAACTTCCCCACTTGTTTTATGTATACAGTATAATCTGGAAACCAAAAATTATCATGAATATTATAAGAAAGAAAAAGTTCAGACAAACCTCTCTTCTGAATATAGTTACAAAAATCCTTAAAAAATATTAGCTACCAAAATCCAGGAATATATAAAAAGCATAGTGTGTCATGACCAGGTTTTTTTCAGGGATGAAAAAACAAAAACAATGTAAGTCATCACATTAACAGAATTAACAAGAAAAACTATATAATTATTTTTATAGATTCAGAAAAATCAGTAAGTAAAGTGTTACAACTATTTATTATAAAATACTAAGAAACTTGGAGTAGAAAGAAGCTTTCTTATTCTGGTGAAACTAGTTTTTAAAAAACAACAACCCTATGGTACACATCATACCTACAATGAAATGTTGAAAACTGTCCTTCTGAGTTCAGAAGCAAGACAAGGATGATCATTGCCACCACTTCTATGGGCCATTTTACTTGACGAACTAAGTTAAAGAACCAGTATTTTAAGAATTGGACAAATGGACAAAGTATTTGAGCAAGCACTTCAATAAGATGTTATCCCAATAACCAATAACATGACAATGTGTTTAACCTAATTTATCATCAGGAAAATGAAAATTGAAATGACAATATAATACTATTATACACTCTTCGGAAGAATTAAAATGAAACAATATAAAACAGAATATCCCAAATGTTGGCAAAGATGAGTAGCATCTGATCTCTAATACACACTGGTGGTTGTATAAATTAGAATAACCTCTGCCCTAGCTGGTTTGACTCAGTGGATGGAGTGTCATCACTCTGTGGACTGAATGGTCTCAGTTTGATTTTGGTCAAGGGCACATGCAAGAGTTGTGTGTGTGTGTGTGGGGGGGGGTGTCAATACTCAGTGGGGGGCATACAGGAAGTAGCTGATCAATGATTATCTCTCATCATTGATGTTTCTATCTCTCCCTCTCCCTTCCTCTCTGAAATCAATAAAAATATATAAAAAGAAAAGAATAATCACTTTCTAAGATTAATTATCTATAAATAATAAAGTAGAGCATATCATATCTTGTCCCAGCAATTTCAGTCCTTGATATTACCCTGTAGAAATGCATATGTGAGTTTATTGAAGTCATATATGAGAATGTTCATAGCAATACTTTTTATAATAACCAAAAATGAGATAATATTCAAATTCCCGTAAATTTGTTAAATATATTCATTAAAATGGTGGCATATTTATAGACTTGAATAATATAGGATGGGCAAAAGTAGGTTTATACTTGTACATATGGAATATAATACAATTATTAATAAATAGTAATACAAGAATAAATTCTGTTTCACATACATACATCTGTAGATCTACTTTTACCCCACCATGTGTATAGGAATAAGAATGAACAAACTACAAGTATATGCAACAACACGGGTGTGGCTCATAATAGAATGCCAAATGAAAAAGTCACACAAACAAATACCAATTAAGGTAATATATAATATATATATAATTGAAAAATAAAACTAACTTGAAGAGGTTAACAATCGAGATAGTGGTTACCATCAGCCAGTCAGGGTACTCCTTGGGTTCTAATAATGTGGCTTTATTGTATTTTATTGTGGTTTTATGTGGTTGTATTGTATTTTATTGTGGTTGTATTGCTAAATCTGAAAACTCTTTGAACTGTGTTTAAATATTTGTATATTCTTCAGTGTATGTGACACACTTCAGTGAAAAGTTAACTAAAAATAAACCAAAGCAATCTCCACAGCTGTACAGCCAGGATTCAAAGTCAGTTATATCCTTTAATTAGAGTACATTATCTCTCATTAGAATAAGATATAGTTGTACTTCATTTCATCTGAGGTCAAATTTGATATCATTCTGTACTGGTACATTTTAGGAGAGCCCCTAAAATCTTCTTGTGTCTATTTATAGGAGGCTAATTCTGTTTAAATATTTAATTGCAGATATAAATGAATGTGCCATTGACAATGGTGGCTGTCAGAACCAATGCTGCAATACAATTGGCAGTTATTACTGCAAGTGTCTGGCTGGCCAGAAGCTGGAGGAAGATGGCAGAGGATGTGAAGGTAATGGTTAGGACTGTCTGCTTACTGATAAGGGAAGAGAGAAAATCTATGGAATGCAAAGGAGAGGGTTTGTCTTTTATCCAGAGGCAGCTGAAGGGCCTGTGTTGAATGTTGTCAAGAGCAGGGATCTTCCTCTCATGTCTAGATTACAAAATTGTAACCCTAAGAACACTTCAAGTAGCTTATTATAGGAAACATATGATTATACGCTGGTTTGGTTGTGTCATGTTCTGAATATGAAATTTCAATCATTCATTTAAATCCCTGAAAAGTACATATTTCTGAAAATATTTCATTTAATTCTATACTCAAAATGGTGCTTATCATAAAATACTCATATGTTGCTACAATAGAAATGGTGGGGTACAAAGCTAACCACAGAAATTGTATTCTTGGCGTCGTCTTAGCTTTTTTTTTTTTTTTTCCACACAAGACTTCAATTTTCTATCTCCTTTTAAAATGAAGTCATTCCTTCCTTTATTTATTAATTCATCATTTTGTTCATTTGACAGTCATTAAGTTTCTGTTCTGTATCAGGCATTATTCCATGCTTTGGGATATAAAAATTAATGAGAAATAAATTCTTCCCTGAAGGAGTTCACTGATTAGCAGCAGCAAAGATTGCTACGTAAGCCAAAGCCTTACAGAGGCTGTTTTAAGGCATTATCGCATGGGGATAAATCCACTGGATTCAAGCGGGCCTGGGTTTGAGTCTCAGCTCTGCCACTTACAATTTATGTAACCTTGGGCACATTGTTTAATCTTGCTCTTTTCTCATTTGTAAAATTTAGGATAATGGTAGTTCCTAAAACCCCCAAAGTTGCTGTGGGAATTAAATAAGATAATGCATTTAAAGCACTTAGCATAGCAGTGGCATATAGAAGCATTCAGGTGATAACTATGAATCATACTCTCATTTTTGAGCTCCATTGTTGCCCATGTTGGGAATCTAATAGGAGCAAAAGACTGCTTCCTTTCTTGTTCTCAAAAAGGGGAGATGTGGACACAGAAAAGGATTCCTGGACTTTTCTAACTTTTTTTTTCTTCTCCTATCCATACTATCAAAATGCCTGAATATTTTGTTTGGTCCCTTAGAAATTCATTTATTCTAACTGTGGTTTCCTATTGATCTTACATGCTTATATTCTTTTTTTTTTTTTTTTACCTGATAACATATATTCCTGATGAATCATAAATGACTAAGCTCATAGGAGAAAACAAAACAACAGAAGGTATTCAGCTGAAAGTGGTTGGGAATGGCTGTTGGCTGGATTGGGACTGCTGGACCAGACAAGCTGTAGATATGAGTAGGCTAGACCACTATTTGGCAACCACTGGGCTGGAGGATTTTTCAGATTCTCAGGAAGGTATATGCTTCAGTCCTCCTGGCAGACATCCACAAGAGGGTTCTAGGAAGGCAGCCAGATGTTCAAGTGCAGCTGTATCTGGGCCTTTCTGAGACAGGTTTCACCCAAAGCAAGGCCAAGAACAGTATCTATATATATAAAACCCTAATATGCAAATAGACTGAACAGCAGAACAACCAAACAACTGAATAACCTGTCTCTATGACGTGTGCTAACCACCAGGGAGTGTACAGGGAACTTGGCAGGCATCAGCAGAAGCAGGATGGTGGAGCAGGTGAGTGGGGGCGCCAGTCCAAGGCAGGGCACCAGTCTCTGTCATTGGGCTGAGCCTCTGGTGGTTACTGAAAATTCTTTGCTCCCAGATGCCAGCCCTGCTTCCTCGCCCTGCTGGCACCAGAGCTGCCACTTGCATCCACTGCTGGTGCCAGCCCCAATCATTCCACACCTTCAGTGGGTGCAAATGGGGCTGGTGCTGTCAGCATGTGGGAGTGGGAACGGTGATGTGGGCAGACAGGGGACTATGTGGGCCGCAGCAGGAGGGGTTGGGAGGGGATGCAGAGGATGGACTGAGACCCACCACTGTGCCCACCACACTTCGCAGTCCACAGGTCCTTTCAAGGTGCACAAATTCATGTACTGGGCCCCTAGTACATGTATAAAGGCAAGCTCTAAATTCACCCGGGCTCTTTTCCTTGAAAGTAAGATGATCTTTTTTCTAATTTAATTTAATTTTTTTATTGTTTGAAGCATTGCAAATAGTAGTACATTATGTCTCCTGTTTCCCCCCTTGACCTCCCCACAGCCGCCTCTATCCCCCAGCATATGCCTTCACCTGCCCCACCTCCCCCAACCCAGTGTCTTGTATCCATTGTTTATGTCCAAATGCATGCATACAAGTCCTTCAGTTGATCTCTTACAACCCCCTCCCTCCCACACCCACACAACCTTCCCTGCCTTCCTGCCATCGTTTGACAGTCTGTTCAATGATTCTTTATCTCTATAACTATTTTCCCCCATTTCTTTTCTAAGATAATTTTTATTTATGATGAGATTGTTTAACAATGGTGTTCCCAGTACTGATTCAGTATAAGAGAAGGAGAGTAGTTAAGGCCCCCAAGGTGTTCAAATGAAAGGTAGGACAATGATCACTGAAGCATGGTCTACATACTGAGAATATTCTTTGTCATCATGACCCCTCCCTTCCCTGACATTCTCTTCATTTCTTTTAGACTGAATATCATTATCATTATATTATATTTGAAGAGCCCAGCACAGCAATTAGCCACTGTTAGGCATGACAGTTGCTATTACTTTTTTAAATAGCTATTATGTTGATAAGAAATGGCAAACTTTATACCTACTAATTCATTTACATGCAATTATATCATTTGATTGAAGTCAGTAACTCTTCATATAAATGTAAAACTTTTAGACAAGTGATTTCCATAGCTTTATTTAACTGATGTTTATTTATACAAAATGAATAGGGGTAAGGTCAGTATTTGTAAGAATTAAGAGTTTTATGCTACCACAACCGGTTTGGCTCAGTGGATAGAGTGTCAGCCTGTGGACTGAAAGGTCCAAGGTTTGATTCCGGTCAAGGACATGTACCTTGGTTGCAGGCACATTCCCAGTAGGAGGTGTGCAGGAGGCAGGTGACCAATTTTTCTCTCTCATTGATGTTTCTGGCTTTCTATCCCTCTCCCTTCCTCTCTGTAAAAAACCTATATATATATATTTAAAAAGAGTTTGATGCTGAGTTAAGATTGACATTCTAGTGACCAAGATGCAGAACTGAGGATGGCACTATGGAGTAGAGCAACTACCAGTACAGAACCACATCTATCAGTCTTATGCTTAGCATCTTTTCCTTTTCATATCTTTAAATTACTATTTGGTACACATGAAGATGCTAGAGATATAGAGTGCACAACTGTTGAATATGCAATGCTCTCAGATTTGTTTAAATAGGTAATTAAATAAAAATAATAATAGAGATCGTTTTGAAATTGAGTGTATTCTAAAGCGACTGCAAATGAGCATTTCAGTTCATGTGGGTGCACTAATGAGCCATTCATATTTATTTATTGGATGTTCATTGTAAAGGTCAGTTAGTTTCAAAGACCATTGTGTTGAATGCTACAGATATAGAATTAAACAGTCATTTGAACAGACTTTGCTTTGCTATGGTATATATAGAATTTAACCTGCTTGAATTGGTTTTTAAAATACAGACCAACATTTTAGGAGATATTTGTTGTACCATTAAAATAAATCTAGACTACCTTTCAATGAAATTGAAACATTTGTAAATGGTATTGTTAGCTAATCTTATTTTTTAACCTTTTCTCTAAAGAGCTATAAAAGAGAAGAAGGCTTCTTTTTTAAAAAATATATGTTTCTTTTTTATTTCAGAGAGGAAGAGAGAAGAAGAAATAGAAATATCAATGATGAGAGAGAATCATTGATCGGCTGCCTCCTGCACAGCCCCCACTGGGGATCAAGCCCGCAACCTAGGCATGTGCCCTTGGCCCTAATCAAACCTGGGATCCTTCAGTCTGCAGGCTGATGTTCTATCCACTGAGCCAAGCTGGTTAGGGTAAGGAGAAGAATTCTTGATTAGCTAAATTTACATGAGCATCCTCTTCTGTCAGGCAAAACACTGAACCAAAATCAACAGGTTCAATTAATTGCTGATAAATGATTATAGGGTATAGATTAAAGGGGAAAATTAAAAGGGAATAGAACTGCCTACCACTGGACAGTGTGGGTAGATGCATCCTATATTGTATATAGTATATGTATTTATGTGTATATATGTAATAGGTGCATTAGATTATTCTTTAGTTTATTACTGCGATTTATAATATATGCAATCATCTTTGCATTTCAGAAAAAAATCAATTGGATTTTATCATTTTATTTGCTATTAAATTCAATTTCCTGTTATTTTGTTTAGGATTTTTACATCTATAAACATGAGTGAAATAAGCCAGTAATTTGCCTCTTACATTATTTTTATGGCAACTGTTCTCAACTGGGGTGATTTTGTCCTCCAGAAACATTTGGCAGTGTCTGAAGACACTGATTTCCACAACTGAGAGAAAGGGGTACTTAGTGGATAGAGGATGCTAAACATCCTATTCTGCATCATCTCCAACATCTCATTCTACATCATCTACATCACATGGAGTTTTTTATACATTATCTATATCACATGGGGCTTTTATATAGTCAATTTTGCTTTTTTGTTTTCTTTACTACATATGCTCAACCAGTCTATTGAGTTTCAAATAGTAATGATTTAACTTTACATTTTTAGAAATCTCTTTTTTTTTCCTCAAATCTGTATGTAGTTTTTTCTGTCATATGTTTAGTTTGATAATTGTATCATTTTATTTTATACATAGTTATTCTATAGTCCTCATCTGATTCCAGAATCTGTGGTCCTCGTGGGGAAGTCTAAATCTAGTATTTCTTATTTCTAGACCATTAGATACTTAGTTTCCTTCCTTTCCTGTTGTGTATACCTCCAGTATATAACATCTGTGCTTATTTACACATTTGTACTGTCTATTAGGTTGGGAATATCTCCTGGGAAATGTTTATGTCATCACTTTGTTATCCCCAACA